GCGTTCATAAGCTACGGTCACTCTGTTTAGCATGAGACGGGTCGTATGCTTGTTTGTTACCATAGTAGGTAATGTCTGGTAGATAAATAAGTCGAGAAAAAATCAATATATATATATATATATATATATATATATATATATATATATATATATATATATATATATATATATATATATATATATATATATATATATATATATATATATATATATTATTAAATTTAGTAGCTATTTTCTGTAGTTACATCATCATTATTTTAGCCACTATCAGTCTACTGCTGGCCATAAGCCTCCCCATAGACTGCCATAAAGAACGGTCCTGAGCCACCTGCATCCACTGACTCCCTGCAACGCATTTCAGGTCGTCACTCCATCTAGTAGGGGATTGTCCTACACTGCGTTTACCCGTACGTGGTCGCCACTCAAGAACCTTTCTTTCTCATTGGTTGTCGGTTCTTCGAGCTATGTGACCAATTCATTGTCACTACAGCTTGCTTATCCTTCTATAGTTTAGTTCACATAAATTATGGTTGAAAATATCCTAAACGTAATATGTTAGTATTCTGTACATTTCATACAAATTAATTTAACAAACATTCAAACATCTTTACAAACTTTTGCAATTACAATATTGGAAGAGTATAAAAAAAAAAATTTTGATAATAATTTTAAGAGACACGAGCTCAAGGGTCCGCCCCTTAAAAAGTCTGAGAGACTCTTGACCGATTTTTGTTTGTTGCCACGCTCCATGCGACGATTGCGACCTTATTTCAAATAAGTGGATATGACAAAGTCACAAAAAACCCAACTATAAAATACAGGGTAAGATGGAAACTATTGGCATTCTTTTATGGGGTAAGTGGTATGTGAATAAAATTTTTTTTATTATCATTTTCCTTTCACTCATATTCATTTAGAAAAAAAAAAATACATTGAGTTGGCCTGGTTTTGATTTTATGGTAACCCCGCCTGCGCTAACGGTATACGCTGGCGGGTCACCAGTGAAGGGTGATAGATGAGAATGAAAACAGGCCAGTTAGCCAATCACGATGAATTCCTCAGACATTAACCATGATAGTTTCCAGGGGGGACCGCGTGGAGGTCGACCTGGTCGGGTATATTGCTAGAAATGGGATTTTTAGTCTCCATTACTACCAATCCCTTTCCCCACCAGTTGGCCTGGTAAAACACATTCTTAAAGGTTTCGATGTTACTCTGCGTATTTATAAGAGTTCATGGCCACTATTTTATATGCATTCCGAACAGACAAAAAGAATTATAAAAATAAAATAAAAGCCAAAAGTACTTAATTTGAATTTATTTATTTATTTATTTAATACTTTATTGTACACATTAGTTATAAAAATATGACAGAGGTAAACAAAAGTACAAAGGCGAGCTTAACTCTGATAGAGTTTTCTTCCAGCAAACCCAAAGTGGAAAGGAGCATCAATGTCAGCGGATACATCAGTGTACAATTTTTAAATAGCCAAAATTAAATTAATTAGATTATATTATATAGTACAAATACACACATACATATACATAAATATATACCTACATCTATGCATAAACCTACATATACATACAATATACCTACACATATAGATAAATAAATATATGTTCATAGAGATAGAAGATGCTCTTTAAGTCTACTCTTAAAAATATTTAGGGATTGACTCTCACGGATAGATATGGGAAGAGAATTCCACAATCTAGCAGCATGGACGGTAAAAGATCTACTATAGCGCGTAGATGAGTGTGAAGGGAGTTTGAGGATAAGAGATTTCGTCGAACGGGAGGACACGTCATGGGGAACTAGAAAATCAAAACGTTCACGAAGATAGGAGGGAAAAGTAGGGTTATATAGAACGGAATATAAAAACGACATTATATGAAAGTCTCGACGCCTTCGAATTGGCAGCCAATTCAATTTTGTTCTATAAGCGGAGACATGATCATATTTACGCAGACCATATATGAAACGTATACACAAATTCTGTAATCTCTCTAATTTGTTTAAAAGCTCTTCAGTTGCATCAAGGTAGGATATGTCGGCATAATCAAGAAGAGATAACAGTAGAGCTTGTGCCAAAGTAAGCCTTGTCTTAAATGGTAAGAATTTTTGCAATCGTTTAAAAGAATGAAATGAAAAACATAGCTTTTTGCTGACCCCATTAATGTGTTCATTCCAGGATAAATTGCAATCAATTATAACACCTAGGTTTTTTGCTTTCTTAGCATATGCAATTAACTCATTTTCATAGTAAACAGGAGGCAAAGCATCATGATCAAGCATTTTATAATTACGATGACTACCTATAATGAGAGCTTGGGATTTTCGCGGGTTAACTAGAAGCCCAAAGGATCTAGCCCATTCCGATATTTTAAGCAGCTGAAAATTCATATCATCAATTGCTTCAGATATGTCGCAAAGATTAAAATGAAAATATAATTGCAAATCGTCTGCGTAGAGATGGTAGGAAGAAAAAATTACATGAGTTATAGCATTGATAAATGCAGAGAAAAGAAGAGGAGATAATACGCCGCCTTGAGGGACTCCTGCAGTAACCGCACACCAATCTGAGGTATCCTCACCATGGCGAACACACTGCAGTCGACCCCGAAGATAAGAGTTAAACCAATTGATTACAGGTGGAGATATGTTAATGGATGAAAGGATATTTAAAAGAATATCATAATCTACAGAGTTAAAGGCACTGCTAAAGTCTAGGAGAACAAGGAGTGTGAGGGAGTGGTTGTCCATAGCCCGGCGTATGTCGTCAGTGACTTTGACAAGAGCACTGACTGTACTGTGACCAGGGCGGAAACCAGATTGCAAAGGACTTAGCAGATTATTACTAGACAGATAAACGGACAATTGTTTATGAACTATTTGCTCTAATAACTTTGACAAAGCGGGTAGAATCGAGATAGGTCTAAAATCAGTTAGAGTAGATGGATTAGATGTTTTAGGGACAGGAATGATGTAGGCTTTCTTCCAAAGTTCCGGAAAAGAACATGTATCAAGAGAAAAATTTATTATATGTGTAATAATTGATACAAGTTCATCCAAAATAGGGTGCAACATTTGTGTGCCTACTCCGTCAGCACCCGTCGCTTTGGAAGAAATGGTAAGGAGGTGCCTCTTAACATCACACTCTGTAATCAAGCTGAAAGAGAAGAATAATAATAATATGAAATTTATTTATTTTTATTTCATGACGATCTCAAACAAGCATATAACCCGTCTGACAGTCATTGTAACCTATGGACTGCAATACCAGAAACTTTAATACACTTTTTTAAAAAACCTCACACTGTAGTTTTTGGAGAGGTAGGTAGCTCGCCAGGTAGCTAATTTCATAGCCTGTTTGCGAGAGGAAACTCCTGTGTAACTTGAAATTATTTATATATTTTTTTATACAACGTAGTATGGCAAACGAGCTGACGGCCCACTTGATGGAAAGTGGTAACCGTCGCCTATAGACATTAGGAATACCATGAACATAACAGAGTATACTGTTTCACCCATGATACCCCCTATGCGTTGCCATTCCTGAGGACTCAGGTGTTACTTCTCTGTGCCCAGTAAATTCACGCCATATCCCACCCTTCATACCGAAACACAGCCATGCAAACACAATTGCTTCACGGTTGAAACACGAATGGGACAGAGGTACCCAAGCAATCGACTTTTGTATAAAGTCTCCCTCTGTTAATATAGGTATATAGACAAACAAAAATACTATTCATTTTTTACCATTCCAAGTTCATAAAAAAAATAGAGGTATTAAACGAGTTTAACAATATCAAAATAACATTCAAGATTACATTCTTTATAGAATACATTAGACATAATGATGCCAAATGGCCCTTATCATGAAGACTCCACGATAAGACAGTGTAATGGACTAAAAATAATAGCCCTTCCAAAAATAATATTCCCTGAAACAAATATAGAAAACTGAGCAATAAAGCCGAGCATATCGTTGACGTTAAACTTGAACCCTTTTTTATGCACTCGTAAAATTTATACGCATTGAAATAAGGTATTCTGTTAGAGATATCAAACGTACATAAAGGTAGACACTAAAGTGATTTTAGATTCGAGATGGTAAACATTGCATGTGTGTATTATTTATTAGGTTTACGCTTTATATTTATATGTATATTTCATATTTTATATGTATATTTCATATTTTATTTATATTATTAGACTAGGCATATTAGACTAAAATAAAAACGTGGGGCCCATTAACTATTTCTGTATTACTTTCTACTATACTAAGTGTTAAAGCGGTTCCCTTGGGATTTATATCCCGAGAGATAGTTTCCTTCGACTAGACTGTCATCACAGGATCACGATTCGGGCAAATTAAGGAGTTACGAGCGTACCTGGATTCTGCTATGGCGGCTGCTGCAGGAACCGATTTTGCGGGTCACCACACCACACGCGCGGCGGAATTAGTGTATATACACCTTCACTATCACAGCACCGACATACAGCTTGATAATTTGATAGTTTTAATGAATTAATTATTTTTACACGTAATTATGTGCGAGCGGCGTTTCTCCGATTCGAGCGGGAAAAACGAACAGAACCGCCATCTTTTTTCCCAGCAGCGGCGCGGGTGTACTCGGCTCCTTTCGGCCCTAGATCGTGAAGTATGTCTGTCCTTGTCTACACGAAATGTGAATTTAAACTAGTTGTGGCGCAAACATTCCCCCGGCCTTAAAGGGTTGCCTTTAAAAAAAATAATAATATATATATATATAACTGGGAAATGAATAGCAGATGATGAGTTATAGCAATATGCGGAAGATATATATATATATATATATATATATATATATAAATAAAATGAGCGGTATATTAATGTGTATAAGATTAATCATAAGCGGGAAATTATTTGAGATTATGTGAATACGATATATGAATTAAACTTATATATATAACTAAGCTAAATCTAAATTTCTTTTAAATTAAATATCTGAAACTATTGATGCGGCAATGGGCACAAACGAACTACCGGGCGAAGGTAGCTACCCTTTGACGTCCTAACAGTGACCACTCGCGTGGTTCCGTCTTTAGAAGGATGTACCTTTTCAACGACAGCTAATGGCCATGAAAAGGGCGGTGCGTTGTCTATTACTATAATAACAACAGTACCCTCTTTAATGGGAACTGATGGAAGATTCCATTTAGCGCGTGTCTGCAATTGATGCAGATACTCCATTCGCCACCGGCGCCAGAAAGACTGTACAATGCTATCCAAAAGGGAATGGCGTTGATTTAAATCGTGCGTGCTAGCTTCTGGCGCTGGGATGGATGAAAGAGGGACAGTGTTTAAAAAATGAGCCGGCGTAAGAGCAGACGGCTCAGCGGGGTCACTACTTCTAGCTGTGAGTGGACGCGAATTAATAAGTGCCTCAACCTGAGAAAGCACTGTTATAAGTTCCTCATAAGAGAGAATTTGTGATCCTATCACTTTAAACAAATTATTTTTAACAATTTTTACGATGCTTTCCCAACTTCCACCGAAGTGGGGAGCAGCGGGAGGAATGAATTTCATATTTATGCGATTTTCTGAAAGTTCTAATTCTAAATGCGGGCGATATTCATCAAGAAATTTATATAAATCGCGAAGATACTTGCGAGCACCTACGAAACATGTCCCATTATCCGTATATAAACAGTTTATTGGGCCTCGGCGAGATAAGAATCGTTTAAGTGCGGATAAGAAACTAACCGTGCTTAAATCAGTAGCAACTTCAATATGAGTAGCACGGGTTGTCAAACACGTGAAAATACATAGCCATGCTTTGCGGCTTTTAACTCCCCGACCACGAATAGGTGTATACTGTAAGGGACCGGCATAGTCACAGCCTACATGCGTAAATGCCTTATCAACTTGAGTGACGCGGTGGCTCGGTAGATCGGCCATAAGTGGAAACGTAGGGCGCGGTTTTATTTTAAAACAAGCGTTACATTTATGAATGCGATAACGTATTAAGCGGCGAGCGGACTGGATCCAGTACTTCTGCCTGAGTAAGGACATAAGTAGCTCTGGTCCAGCATGAAGATGCTTCTTATGATAAAAATCAATAAGAATATCGATAACATGATCGCGACGCGGTAAAAGTAGAGGATACTTAGTACAGTAATCCTCAGCGGAACTTGACAAGCGACCACCGACGCGAATGACATCGTCCTTGTCTATAAATGGTCGGAGCTTGTTTAAAGCGGAAGAACAATATTTATTATTTTTTAAATTATTAAATTCATGTGCAAAATAAACTTCTTGCACGGCGCGAATTAATTTGATTTCAGCAAAGTCTAAGTCTTCACTCGTAATAACGATATTACGAGGAAGGCGTTTAATAAATTTATAAATGTAAACAATAGTCCGTAAAAATTTTGAATATCCTGAAAGGCGTTGAGATAGCGCGTAAAGTAGTGATTCAGAGGTATTTGAAATGAATGTGTGTATAACAGTCCGTTGTTCGGGAATGTCTTCATTCGATAAGTCGTGATTGACAACAAGTGGCCACTCGGCCGGGTTACTTAAAACCCATGAAGGTCCGGTGTACCATAGCGGATGGTTTACTAGCTTGTCTGGCGTGAGACCACGAGAAAGGCAGTCTGCAGGATTGTCGGAACCAGCAACGTGATAGAAACAGTCTGCCGGGACGTTATCGATAATTTGTACTACCCGATTGGCAACGAAAGTTTGCCAGCGGTGCGGAGAAGAGTGGATCCAACAAAGAGCCACTTTCGAATCACTAAAAGCGTATATTTTATTTACAGGATACCGTGGTGCGATGGTATCAGCAACCTTACGAAGTAGTTTTGCGAGTAATACGGCTGCGCATAATTCTAATCTCGCGATGGATACAATTTTTACAGGCGAGACCTTTGACTTGGCGCATAATAATTGAACAAAATATTTATTATCAACCCGAATGTGTAGGTAGACTACACCGCCATAAGCACGTTCACTAGCGTCAGCAAATCCTAAAATATTCAATTGACAATCCTCAACCACTCCTAGGTGTCGCGGTATGCGAAGCCTATTAAGCGAAGGCAGTTCTAAACAGAACTGTCTCCAGGCTGCGATGATATGATGCGGGGGTTGAGCATCCCAATCACATTTTAACAACCAGAGTTCCTTAATAAGGAGCTTGGCGTACAAAATAGTGGGAGCCACGAAACCTAAAATGTCCCATAAACGGGCTACAGCGGAGAGAATAGCGCGCTTAGTACATATAGCGTCTGGCGTGATTACTTCGAACCTAAAAGAATCATTAGATTTATCCCAAAATAGACCTAAGATCTTGTGCGAGGTGGAATTATCAAATGATTTGTCACTGAGGGTTTTGTGTGTATCCGGAATGTGAGCAAGCACGTCGCTGGAGTTGCTCGTCCACTTTACAAGATCAAACTGAGCTATTTTAAAAAGTGCAATGAGCTCGTTACTAATGGTAATAGCCTGTTCATCTGTCATAACAGAAGATACAATATCATCCATATATAGTGCAGACGAAGCAACAGCGGCAGCAGCAGGGAATTTATCCCCTTCATCTTCAACTAGTTGGTGAACAACACGGAGCGCGTGAAATGGACTCGACCTCAGTCCGAAGCATACACGATTAAATTCATATTCAGTCACAGGATCATCTGTGCTGAAGCGGTACAAAATTCGCTGAAACCTACGATCAGGTTCGCGTACAACTATTTGATGAAACATTTGACAACAGTCTGCGGATATACAAATTTTAAAAAGACGAAAATTAATTAAAATACAAAATAAATCACCCTGTAGGTTGGCACCACTATGCAATATATCATTTAACGAACGACCAGATGTCGTTTTACAACTAGCATCTAAAACCACGCGCAATTTAGTGGTGACCTTATCCTCTCGTAGCACTCCGTGATGTGGAATGTAGTACGAGGGTAGAAGTGAATCATCTTGATGCGATTTGACTGGACTTAAATAGCCCTTATCAATATAGGTGCGAATTACTTCATTATAAGTAAAACGAAAATGAGGTGAGGCTTCCAACTTACGTTCTAAACATAAATAACGTCTATGTGCGGCAGCGAATGAGTCGCCTAAGGAGAACATGTCCTCGCGAAACGGCAAGGATACGATATATCTACCACTATCATCACGAGTAGTGGTGGCGCGAAAATAATGTTCACACTCGAGGTCATCGGCACTCTGAGCGGGCGGCGCGGTTATCTCCTCCAATTCCCAAAAACGTTGGAAGAGAGTGTCCATGCGATCATGAATCACGGAACAACACGAGGTTGTATATGCGGTATTTAATAATGCGGAATTAGGCGATTCGGAATTAAAAGTGGGTACGGAACCCATAACTACAAACCCTAAAACGGTTTGTATCGCGGGCGGAATATTACGGTGCTTGCTATGCACAATACCCGGCAATAGCAAGTGCGGGAATATAGAACTACCTATAAGTACGTCTATGTTACTAGGAATGGCAAACTCGCCGTCTGCCAGCGGTAGGTTTTTAATGTGTGAAAATGCGGCGGTATTGACAGTAACGGAAGGCAAACTGTCCGTAATACGGTCAACAACAAGCGCGGAAATATTAAAGTTAACATTTAAATTAAAACGAGAAAATATATTAAATTCTACTGAACCCTTAACGGTTTTTTGTGAGCCACCGATACCCTTTACCATCGTGGATGAATATTTTAATTCATTTAATAAACCTAAGCGGTCACAACATTCATAAGTAATAAAATTACTTTGGGACGCACTGTCCAATAAACATCGAACTAAGTGTTGTTTACCTAATGCGTCATACACAATAACCTGTGCGGTCGCTAGTAACACGGTTTCGTTACTGACCGTACAAAGCGACAGATTACTCTGCGCGGCTACGGCCGCGCCGCTGTGTGACGGGGACAGGGGTGAAGCGATGCAACTAGAGGGCGCGGGCGCGGGCGCGGACGATTCGTGCGTGGGCCGCGAGCTCCGCTCCGTGGCAAAGTGTAGCAAAGTATGATGACGCTTTTGACATACACGACACGAAGATTTTGATGTACAAACACCTGACTTATGTTTGGTACTTAAACAATTTACACATGAATTGTTGACTTTAATATGTTTATAACGATCTAAAGGTGACAATTTTTCGAATGCACTACATTTATAAAAATGATCATGCATATTACTATTACAAAGTGAACATTTTATAGGTGTTACACTTGAAACATAAGACTGCGGGTTTGGATACTTATTAGAAGGCGGGCGGTATTTATTTAACTTTGTACTGGTGGCGGGCGCGGGTTGTGTATTTTCATAAATACGGCATTGCGTTTTTATAAAATTAATAAATCCGTCAAAATCCCGTGATTTTGTTATAGAAGAGTGTAATTCGAACGCGCGTAATGTTTCTGAATCGAATTTACGTTTCGCAATATATAATAAAATGAAATCAGATAAATTTTCTATACCTAAACCCTTTAACGACATAGCGGCGGTGACATAATTATCTATAAATAATTGAAAGCTTGCGGCGGAAGGCATGTTGCCTAATTTAAGATTTAAAATCTGGTCTAAGTAATTAGAACCGAGAACGTGAATATCTTGATACTTATCAAGCAGAGACTTAAATATAATTTCATAGTTTTCGGCGCAGGGTGTAATACCTGCAAATACCGATTGTACCTTGGGTGATAACTTGCCCAGTAAATAATACAGTTTTTCTGCGTTTGTAAGTGAGGAGTTGTCGTGTACAGTAGATTTGTAACTGGCGTAAAATAAATTCCAATCCTGATAATTCCCACTGAAGCCGACTAATTCCAGGGGGGGGAGCCTGGGCCTAGATACAGGTGCATCTATCCCACTCGAGTTCCCGCCCGTGGGCGCAGAAGAAAGATCAGAAAATGTCTGTTTAATTGAACAAAACATATCCTCAAATGAGTCATATACATGAAAATTAGGTACAGCAGAAGGATTTTCATCAAGCATCTTCTCATTATATTCATCGAGTACGTCTTGAAACTTATTACGAACGTCATCGATGGTTATACATGAACTAAGAAACATACGTCTTTTTTCTTCCGATTCAGTAGCCAACTTCGACTTATCGTAAATACCTTGTATTCGTTGAAATAAAGCATTACGTTTAGCTTCTAACATAATAAGTTGACGACTAGGTGAAAAGGTAGGCGCATCTTTGTCTTTACGAGACATAATGATTTAATGCAATATAACTATAGGTAATTATACAAAGTGACCTGTCAATAGACAGCGTAAGCGGACCGTAACGAAATAAAAATGCAATGTAGGTATGCAGCGAAAACACGGTTATAAGTGTTGCATAGATTACTATATAAAATATAACGGAATGCGGGATATATGTAATTATATTTGTATATTATGGGTGTGCGGGATGTGTATATATTAAATATAGTATACTTATAGGATAAAACTATAAGACTATACTATAAATGCGATGCTGAATACTTATTATCTAATAAAATAATAAAGAGGAATGCGGGATATTATATGGTATTATAAGCGGTATATAATAAATATGTTTATAAATAATAAACTATTACACATATAGGTGCTTGTTGCGGTATAATATAAAGAAATAACAAGGCAATCCTATACGGCTGCGCGGGTATGTCTGAGAAACTATAAGTTGGTAGTATAAGAATAAATAAGCGGATTTTATATTATCAATTTTGAAAGCGGTTTATAATAAAAATATTAAACGAAGGACCTTGCGAATAAATAGCAAAAGGGGTACGTTATTAAATGTAACTCAATTTAAAGATAGTAAATGCATCCGGTTCGTAACGGGCCAAAAAATGTTAAAGCGGTTCCCTTGGGATTTATATCCCGAGAGATAGTTTCCTTCGACTAGACTGTCATCACAGGATCACGATTCGGGCAAATTAAGGAGTTACGAGCGTACCTGGATTCTGCTATGGCGGCTGCTGCAGGAACCGATTTTGCGGGTCACCACACCACACGCGCGGCGGAATTAGTGTATATACACCTTCACTATCACAGCACCGACATACAGCTTGATAATTTGATAGTTTTAATGAATTAATTATTTTTACACGTAATTATGTGCGAGCGGCGTTTCTCCGATTCGAGCGGGAAAAACGAACAGAACCGCCATCTTTTTTCCCAGCAGCGGCGCGGGTGTACTCGGCTCCTTTCGGCCCTAGATCGTGAAGTATGTCTGTCCTTGTCTACACGAAATGTGAATTTAAACTAGTTGTGGCGCAAACACTAAGTGTGGATTGCATCGACTTATTATAATCGTCATCATCATCATCCTAGCGGTTTATCCCGGTCGCATTCGAAACCTCATAGCTCCGGAGTCCAGGGTCCGCTGAATCGACTTACTATAATCGTAACTGGAGGTTTTGACCATCAATAACCAGCCGTTACGGCTTCACCAGCGAACGCCGAGCTCATGATCTACCAAAGTATAAGATATGCTCTGCTATAGGTATGATTTCAGAGGGGCCCCACGTTTTTATTTTAGTCTAATATGCCTAAAAACTATTCTGCCTAGTACTAAAATATTTCTGAACTAGAAGGTCAAAATACCTACTTGTTATAGTGTGGGCTGCTTAGTTTACCTACCAAGCAAACCCTGGTGTTAGTGTTCTCTCATGAACTGCCTTTCGGCCGCTGACATGGTTCATGTTATGACAACCACTACCATCAGAGATATTAATGACCGAGATCACCTACATAGGTTGATAGGTAAGTAACTATTTATTTATTTTGTAGTTTTCAGTGCACATAAAATAAAACCGTTTAACTTAAAAGTTTTTTTACCGATTTTTATTTTCTTGTTTTTAGTATTTAGTGAAATTGTTTACCGAATATTCCTCATTCTATTTAATTCATTCAGTGCATCATTATTACATGGTTTCTTACCTGACAATTTAGTACAATCTAATTCCTCAATACATAGCCCTTCCAGAGACTTGACTCGACTTAGAGCCACGTAAGCTTGTCCTTCCTCAAACCATTTTGAGCCCAAATATACTACTGCATGGTCGACGGTGCTGCCCTGCATTTTATGGACGGTGAATGCTCATGACAAAACTAAGGGCAACATCCTTTTTTCAGCCGTACCATAATTGAATTTTGCTGGAAACTGTATGGCTTTAGGGTAAATAACGTGCATGCCGTCTGTGCCAAAGTCAATTAAAACTGATGATATATCTGTTTCGTACATTTGGGTTCGACGGAACTGAGGCCAAAAAATTTCTGTAATGTGGCCTATAGCGTCATTTACCAATCCTTTTGTAACGTCAATGTTGGACCGCAACATTACTTTTGCACCTACAAATATTTCAAGTACTGATGGTAAGCCTCCAGTCTTATTTAATGCCATACAGTCCTCGGCACGTTTTAACCTATTACCTTAACTTGGGTGGTATAACTACCGCTTACTAACGAGGTATCTAATTACCTATTTTTTTTTATCTGCCCCTCTAACGTCACACAATCTTAGACGCAACTGTTCTCGATACGACTAATCATGCCCCCACCTAATACGCCATTTTGTAACAGCGTCCATCTTGAATTTGAAATTTTGACATAATGACAGTATTCTGCAGTGTAGTCCTATTATTTGATACCCATATTGTGGTGGTTGTGGAAAAATATGTACCTAGTCCGCCATATTGGAACAGCGTCCATCTTGAATTTTAAATTTTGACATAATCATCGTGTTTTACTAGTGTAGCCCTTTCATTTGATACCCATATTGCGGGGGTTAAGGAAAAATATGTAATCCGCCATTTTGTATCGGCGGCCATCTTAGATTTATAATGTTATTGATTTTATTATATTGTATTGTCATCTAAATTAAATGTGTGTACCAAATTTCAGATCAATCTGACAACAGGAAGGTGCTTAAATTCCAATTTCTAATTTTGACCCAAATAAATAAATACCGTACAGGTCGAGCTAAATAAAACCGTTTAAATTAAAAAATAATCACAACTAATTTAAAGCAATTGTGAATAGGCTATTCTCGGGTCCACAAGCTTCGTCTAAGACCACATCATCACCATCCATCTGGTGAGATGTGTATCTAGTGTCTGAGTGTCTTGTGTCTGAGTGTCTAGTGTTTAGTGTCTGAGTGTCGAGTGTCGAGTGTCGAGTGTCCGAGTGTGTAGTGTCTGTGTGTCTGAGAGTCTAGTGTCTGAGTGTCTTGTATCCGAGTGTCTAGTGCCTGTATGTCTAGTGTCTGGGTGTCTGATTGTCTAGTGTCTAAGTGTCTAGTGTCTGAGTGTCTAGTGTCTAGTGTCTGAGTGTCTGAGTGTCTAGTGTCGAGTGTCTGAGTGTCTAGTGTCTGAGTGTCTGAGTGTCGAGTGTCGAGTGTCGAGTGTCGAGTGTCGAGTGTCGAGTGTCGAGTGTCGAGTGTCGAGTGTCGAGTGTCGAGTGTCGAGTGTCGAGTGTCGAGTGTCGAGTGTCGAGTGTCGAGTGTCGTGTGTCGAGTGTCGAGTGTCGAGTGTCTGAGTGTCTAGTGTCTAGTGTCTAGTGTTTAGTATCTGAGTATCGAGTGTCGAGTGTCGAGTGTCGAGTGTCTAGTATCAGAGTGTCTAGTGTCTGGGTGTCTGATTGTCAAGTGTCTGAGAGTCTAGTGTCTGAGTGTCTTGTATCCGAGTGTCTAGTGTCTGAGTGTCTGGGTGTCTGAGTGTCTAGTGTCTGGGTGTCTGAGTGTCTAGTGTCTAGTGTCTAGTGTCTAAGTGTCGAGTGTCGAGTGTCAAGTGTCGAGTGTCGAGTGTCGAGTGTCTAGTGTCTGAGTGTCTAGTGTCTGGGTGTCTGAGTGTCTAGTGTCTAAGTGTCGAGTGTCGAGTGTCGAGTGTCGAGTGTCGAGTGTCGAGTGTCGAGTGTCGAGTGTCGAGTCTCAAGTGTCCAGAGTCGAGTGTCGAGTTTCGAGTGTCTAGTGTCTGAGTGTCTAGTGTCTGAGTGTTTGAGTGTCAAGTGTCTGAGAGTCTAGTGTCTGAGTGTCTTGTATCCGAGTGTCGGAGTGTCTAGTGTCTAGTGTTTAGTATCTGAGTGTCGAGTGTCGAGTGTCGAGTGTCGAGTGTCTAGTGTCTGAGTGTCGAGTGTCTGAGTGTCTAGTGTCTGAGTGTCTAGTGTCTAGTGTCTAGTGTCTAGTGTCTAGTGTCTAGTGTCTAGTGTCTAGTGTCTGAGTGTCTGAGTGTCTAGTGTCGAGTGTCTGAGTGTCTGAGTGTCGAGTGTCGAGTGTCAAGTGTCTGAGAGTCTAGTGTCTGAGTGTCTTGTATCCGAGTGTCTAGTGTCTGAGTGTCTAGTGTCTGGGTGTCTGAGTGTCTAGTGTCTAAGTGTCGAGTGTCGAGTGTTGACCGTCGAGTGTCAAGTGTCGAGTGTGGAGTGTCGAGTGTCTAGTGTCTGAGTGTCTAACGTCTGGGTGTCTGAGTGTCAAGTGTCTGAGAGTCTAGTGTCTGAGTGTCTTGTATCCGAGTGTCTAGTGTCTGAGTGTCTGGGTGTCTGAGTGTCTAGAGTCTGGGTGTCTGAGTGTCAAGTGTCTAAGTGTCGAGTGTCGAGTGTCAAGTGTCGAGTGTCGAGTGTCGAGTGTCTAGTGTCTGAGTGTCTGAGTGTCTAGTGTCTGGGTGTCTGAGTGTCTAGTGTCTAAGCGTCGAGTGTCGAGTGTCGAGTGTCGAGTGTCGAGTGTCGAGTGTCGAGTGTCGAGTGTCGAGTGTCGAGTGTCGAGTGTCGAGTGTCGAGTCTCAAGTGTCGAGAGTCGAGTGTCGAGTTTCGAGTGTCTAGTGTCTCAGTGTCTAGTGTCTGAGTGTCTAGTGTCTGAGTGTCTGAGTGTCAAGTGTCTGAGAGTCTAGTGTCTGAGTGTCTTGTATCCGAGTGTCGGAGTGTCTAGTGTCTAGTGTTTAGTATCTGAGTGTCGAGTGTCGAGTGTCGAGTGTCTAGTGTCTGAGTGTCGAGTGTCTGAGTGTCTAGTGTCTAGTGTCTAGTGTCTAGTGTCTAGTGTTTAGTGTCTGAGTGTCGAGTGTCGAGTGTCGAGTGTCGAGTGTCGAGTGTCGAGTGTCGAGTGTCGTCGATTATCGAGTGTCGAGTGTCGAGTGTCGAATGTCGAGTGTCTAGTGTCGAGTGTCTAGTGTCTGAATGTCGATTGTCTGAGTGTCTAGTGTCTGGTGTTTAGTGTCTGAGTGTCGAGTATCGAGTGTCGAGTGTCTAGTGTCTGAGTGTCTAGTGTCCGAGTGTCTAGTGTCTGAGTGTCTTGTATCCGAGTGTCTAGTGTCTGTGTGTCTAGGGTCTGGGTGTCTGAGTGTCTAGTGTCTGAGGGTCTAGCGTCTGAGTGTCTAGTGTCCGAGTATCTAGTGTCTGGGTGTCTTAGTGTAGTCCTATTATTTGATACCCATATTGTGGTGGTTGTTGGAAAATATGTACCTAGTCCGCCATATTGGAACGGCGTCCATCTTGAATTTTAAATTTTGAC